CGATATTTCATTACGATATTTTATTACGATATTTCATTACGATATTTCATTACGATATTTTATTACGATATTTCATTACGATATTTTATTACGATATTTCATTACGATATTTCATTACGATATTTTATTACCACAATTTCAAACAAAACGGAAAACAGAGCAATCCCAAAATATCACGCACGACTTTGATGTAACAATAATAAATGTGCTCATTGCTATGTTGCTTATGAGCTAATGGTTTTGTTTAGTACGTGACACTTTGGATATCGAATTTTGGTAATAATTATCTGTCATTTCATCCCACATATCACAGAGAGTTGCAAACAAGGGTCTGAATTGGGAGCAAAGTCGCTTTTCTTCAGTTGCTGTTTCAAGGCACTTCATGCACGTAGGATTCATGTCGGGGTCATTTACTGGTGACCTATCCAACGTTGATTTGATTTGATTTTCCAAGAATTGTCTAAAGGTATTTGCCTAGTGTGAAAGTGCTTTGTTATGCATGGGGATGTTTACTTGAATGACACCGAGACAAAAATAAGGGTAAGACATGACATTCCAGCTCTTGCACGATGTAGTCCACTAAACCAAGCCATCCAGTGATTCTCATGAAGGCAGTATTGTTCATTCCACTCCAAACCAACCAAAACCATGGCAGTTTCGTGACCTCTGTTCCTCACTGACAGATGATTATGTTAACACGTAACTAACACAATTCATGGGCAAAAAAAGTTTTTTTGCTCCACACGAAACCAATAACTTCTAAACAAAAACAAAATAATAGTAATGAGCACATATGTAGGCTATGTTAAGTCCAGGTTTTACGCGGTATTTGTAATTGCTCTGTTTTCCAATCTGTTTAAAAATATCACAAGAAGATGCTGTTCATTGCAGAGACAACAATATTATCTTTGCTTTTAATTTTTAAACATGTCCATTCCACCAATGCTGATGAACCTCCATAAACGCGCAACACTTTTACGTTTCTTTGGTTTCGCACAATTTTGTCAAGACTGTCTCTTTATAGGTCGATTTTCCGTAACTACATCTCGGGCGTCTTTAAATATGGATGAAACATTAATGGCTCAAATGATATAGAATTTTTAAAGCTTTAAATTGATATGCTGCATGAGTGGGTAGTACTAGGCTATAACACAATGGTTGGGTGCTTACATTTTCAAGTTTCTTTTGGACGCCACTATATATATATA